GGTATGGCATTTTAAGCTATGAAACAGAGAAATTGAGGCATTCCAACCAGTTTATCGATCGAGTTTTTTCAATTGCTCTGTGGTTTCATAATGTTTCACGTGATAAGTTGTTCAACTTGTGGACTGTTTAATTTTTTTACAGTTCGCTAAAACTGAGATTAAGTGGAAATCTAAGGATTGTTGTAACATGGTAGGTAGCAGAGTATTGCTTTGTGGTTTTAGATTGGGCTTGGGATCTTGAAATTCTTCTGTATAAGCTTGGAACTGTTATGAAAAAACTTAGGGGGTCGTAAGCATGAAAGATGAAATGATTTTTGCGTAGTTGCTGTAAGCACACTTTTTGGGAATATTTGCTTCTGAAGGTGGCCATTCAGTGTGGAATGTGGGAGGTTGTACTTTTTATTGATGGTCCTATCGTTAATTACATGCTAACCCTAGAATTTGTACTGTGGTAGGCGTTTACAGTTGCTGCTTAATTTTTAAATTCGCGGTGGTCGCTAATTTATCTGTTAACGATAGAGAAGCAATTGCTTGAATTATAAGCTACTGCATCTTGTTTGCTCTACCACGTATGAAGCATGTGGAATTGCCACGGACTTAAGTAACAGTAAATAAGTGTAACTGTATTGCTGAGCGTTACTAGCTCTCCATTTTCCAAATGCTGTTTTTTTTTCCTCTGTCGTAGCGTAATATATTTTTTGAGAAACTACTATTTAATTCATCCAATGATGCGTCATTTATTTATTTTCTCTTTTCAATGCCTTACGTTGGTAAAATCCGTTTTGAAGTTTTCTGTTATGAATAGAAGGTTTTAAAATTCGGGAATGTTCTAGTTCCTTCAGGTTTTTTTATTATTTTTTGCTTGGAAAAGGTCCTCAACAACTGATGAAATTGTGAAGTGGAAATGATGGTGGGGTTTTAAGTTCTCATAGTTGTTGCTTTTTCTTAGGCAGAACATTTTTCAGGACAGCGTTTTTTTTATATAACTTAATAGACGTCATTAGTGGAGTTTTTGCACTTCTCAGTGGTTGTCTGATGTGTGTCTGTTTCCATCCACCATGGTTGTCTTTGTTTAAAGAACGAGACCTGTGTTGAAGAGTAACACTTGATCTTATGGAATCAAATAAGAGCTTCCTAAATGTCTCATAGTGAAGAAGAGATGCGGAGAGAATAAATTATGTTTGGGTTAGGTTCAAGTTAATTTTCTGTTTATTTTAGTGATACACTTTTTTTGGTCAAAGGTACTTATTAGTTTGCCCATTTTATGTTATATTTTTTCCGGCACTTTCATTTTTGATTAAGACAACGCTTTGATTTTAGGAACTGTGAGCCATTTTTTATTTTGAAAGTATTTTTTTTCCCAAAAAGAACCTTTATCAATTACGAAATTTTGTTTAGCTTGTGGATGAGTATATTATGACCTAGTGACGTCATTATCCCTCAAAACTGAAGTTATTCGGTTGTCTGTTGTGTTTGCTGCTTATACTTCACCGAGCTGTTTAGTTTTTTCGTTCTTGTTCATCACAGCTGATAGTCTTAACGGATTCAATTTTGTGTTTTGATAAACGTTGCCGCCGACTTGTTACCGAATATTTTTGTTCATTCTTAGTCATTTGTTCCGATTTTTTTCCTCATCACTACCTCCTTCGTTATTAATCTTAACAGAATTCAGTCAGTTTTTACTTTCTCTTCCGTCACTGATCTATATTTCATCCCAGTTGATGCCTTTTTAACTTGGAACTTGTGGCTCGCAGATAATGTTATCAGTTAATGCCGGATATTACTTTAATACGGCAATAATTAATTGATGTAGTTTTTAGACCTAATATTTATTCTGTTACCAACAAATTGTTGTTCATCTTACCTATTTTTTACTCGACAAAAGCTTAATGGATTCTTCTGTTTGGCAAGGTTTTTTCCCGCTGTTTGAGCATATTTTTGTGGGGAGGAATAACGTTTTGCGTGTAAGTCTGGTTTCAATTCCTAATTTTGGCTTTAATCTGTTCCTATGTAAGCAGTTTTGTTTGTTATACCGAACAGTTCTAAAATAGAAGTTGTGTATTAATTTTCAATATTCTTTTTTTAACTTTTATTTTGGGTAGCAAAGCTCATACAAAATAAAAAAATTTTTTTTGTCTTTTTTAAAAGAGAAATAAAAAAGAATGAGGAAGAAATATTTGTGTTGCAGGAAAAAGCGAGGGGGTTATAATATTTGTCATTTTCGCGTTAGTAGTTCATGCTCTACGACATTTTATTTTTGCACACTCACCTTATCGTTTTTAGTCGCAACACTTTTGTTTATAGATTTGGTCGGTTGTTTTCTACGAACCCAAATATCACCATGAAGGTGAATGACTACAACTTTGCCTCCTAGTACTTCTTATAAAACTTGATTTCACGTTATCTATTGGGTGTTGACGTGTCGCCTTAAGAATTTTTTGATCTATTTTGATGCTGTGTATCCTTTACTTTAACAACTTTCTAATTTTTTTTGATTTTTACTGTTTTTTAACAACTTCAAATCATTCGAGCATTTGTTTTTTAATTGACAATGCATTTTATTGATTTAACAAAAGCAACTTCGTCTGGAATTGTGGTTACCAGTTGTTTGCGTTTCTGAAAGTTTTCTCTCAACTGTAGGATTTTGTACTCAAAATTAGATGCGCTTTAAACAGAGCTGTACTTTTTGTTTTTTTATTTTTTTTTTTTTTTTTTGAAATTCGGAAGCTGTGTTATTAGAACTTTAGGGTTTTTGGGGTTTTAGACTTTACCATTTAAGGCCATTTAGGATTGGTGAGAAACTTATGGTTTCTTAGCATTTTAGTTCAGGTTCGCAGTTACCAATTTGCTTTTCCTTCACTATTCTGTTCTTCTGACAATTAATTTACCTAAGATTTCTAACGTTTATCTTTTTCATCGGATTTTCTCCATGCGTTAATTATCGTTTTAGCAAGCAAAGGTCGACAGAAGGTGTTCGGCAACAACAGCAGTCAGGCAACGTAATATCAATAACAACCACGACGACAACGTCAGCTCCTGTAGCCCAACAAGCTTCCGTTCAGCAAACTTCTTCAAATGACGAGAACGCGGCGTCGTCTTCTCTACACCTTGAGCTCTCTCAGGTTTTTCAAGGAGACCATGAATTTTTTTTGCTTTCCAGATGCATCTTGGTTCAGAAACACAATTTTCAGAACCTTCCATCACAAGGTCCTCCAGCTATGAGCCCGTCATTAACTTCAGGAATATCGGGATCGTCTACTCCGGAGTCAAATCTGATCCACAAAAGATTTTCCATTTCAAGTACAGCAAATGTTCAGCAGGAGGTTTGTTGAAAGTTTTTAGCTGTCTAATTCGTATTGATTTTTAATACATCGTTTTCACCCCTTGAACTGTTCTGACTGGTAAAAAATTCATTTTGTCTTATCTCATACGAAAACATAACTCTTTGACTGTGAATTTTAGTACTACAGTCATTTCTGGTTTGCAGTACTCCATAATAATATTAAAATGAAATTGCTTTTCAGGCAACAGCTCTTAAATCTATGTCTGCGCAGGCAAGTTCAACTGTAAATTTCACTACGTTGCAGCAGCAGTCAATGCAGAATGCTCTTGCCGGTCAACAAAAGCTTTCAAATGTTACAACACCATTGTTAAATGTGGTACCTCAAAGTGGTTTATCGAACCCTGTGGTTTCAACGGGCACTTTAGCTTCGCATAATGATACTCATGGAAGTATACAGGCTGCAGTTTCTACAGCTACCAGTGTGAATCCAGCGATCTCGGGAGTTGAAATTGACCCTATAGCACGACAGATGTTGCGTATGACATCTACGCAAGAAACAAGGAATCAACAACCTCAAACGGTCAGATGCAGAATTTATTTTAAGAAACACTGGCTTCTCATTCATATTTTTACTACTATTTTAGTTTTTTTTTTTTTTTTTTTTTTTTTTTTTTTTT